CTTACAGATCCATACCGGAAACATTCCCTAAGGTCAATTGGTTTGCCAACACATCACAACAATAATACGTATGCGTACGGGACACTGCTCCACAAATCAACATTTGAACAAAATCAAAGTTATAGATAATCAGAGTTGCGAATGCGATCAAATACACAGTTTGAATCACATCTTTTTTGAATGTCCTATTAACAATAGCAAAATATATCAGGAAATAATTAAAATTGGATATACGGCACCACTAAATATCGAAAAAATTCCAAGAAAACCCAAAATATCAGTAATTGAACTAATCAATAGCATCCTAACAAGCAATAACATAAGATTGTAGAGTACAAGACTCCCATAGTTTTTCGTTTTAGCACCAATCCACCTGTTCTCCCTGTAAATGTGTGAAAATGACTGATGTGTCCTATATGTGTGTAGCTGTGTTGTTCATCCTGGGCCAGATATAATACCTATAGCAAGCAAAAAGAAACAAGAAGACTGAAAAGATACACCAAGCAAACATAAACTAAAAATAAAAATAAAAAAAAAGAACACTCTAATATTACTGTTAGTGAGTAAGACTTTAGAGGATCAGGGGCACAAGCCCGCTTACTGGACCTCTACGTGACGAGCTGGCAAAATACCCCTAGTTGGTTGTGCCGAAAAAAACCCAAAGAAGAAGAAGAATAAGATCGAGCCCTCACGTTCTGTGTAACGCTTGGTACAAGCGTCTACGTATACGGCAGTTCTTGACACTTCTATCGAATTGCGGCGATTCGAACCTAGCGGTTTGTTATGATTTAAGACGATTTTAGGTTAGGTGATTTTTCCCCGTATTTTGTTGTAACCGTAATCTCTTTGGATTTTATTAATATAGCGTTGGACTTTGTTTAACATGTCACAATAAGCAACACATGAAAATAATGCCTTTTTCCACTATCCTAACAAAAGTGGAAGACCAACAACGTAGTGCGACCTTTTAGTAGGTAGTACATACTATGTACTATACTATGTACATACTATGTACTATGTAAATTAATTTCTTTATTTCAGACATGTAAAATACTAGGATTTGTAACTAACTGTAAATTAGGAATAATACAATATTGTTTTATTACATTTTTAGTATTTAATGTGATAAGCACTCTCACTTGTTATTACAAACAGGGTGGTATTTATTATAAGTTTTGCCGATAAATAAATCTATGCAATGTAATTACTAATTTGAAAACTCTCCATATAAATGTATCGATGTATGTAAGGATATTCTGATATATACTGTCAAATATACAATAAGCCAAACTTTTAAAGAGATTTATTTAATGGTTTAAGTTGTTCATTTAATAACTATGAATACAAAATCTCATACCTATTTAAGCTAATCAGAATAAATCATTTGTAAATTATTAATAATTTATTATCAATTTAAAAATACTCATAATTTTCACTATCTTTTTTGCGCTAATATAAAGAGAATGGTCATTTTTTTTTCTTCCAACAAATTCAAACAATCCTTCTTAAAAAATTATAAATTACTAGCCAAGAGCGTATAATGTCAAGAAGCAGTTCATCCTGGCGAGCTACCGAGACGCACACGCACGATTCCACCGATACCAAATCCGCCTTTAGCTTGTAACTTTTACCCCAATTTCTTGTAAGATAGCAATACATTGTTAAAGTGAGTGTCCACGCTTGGGGCTTCGTAAATTGTTTAATCAAATCCCAGTACTTTGTGGACCGACATACAGTGACAGTGCCCAAATTTTGTGAACCGATGGTCTGCCCGGCAGCTGGAGGAATAAAAATCTTTGCGAAGACACCCAGTGTTCTGAATCCCGGGTAGTGTGGATTCTTACCAACTAAAAAACCTCCTTTTTTGTATTACGAGTTTTCGGGAGTTATCCTTTAAAACTTGTAGTCCTCTCTAAGAATTTGTCAGCTCCGGCATCTGTATGCCATACATCTTACAAACACCGAAGCCGTCACCTGTCATTCGTGCAGTATTGCCAGGTTTTTTTTCTTTTTTTTGGTTTGCCCGGCGGCGTGTTTCGAACCCTGGGTAGTGTTGGATACTTACCAACTAAAAAACCCCCTTTTTTGTAATACGAGTTTTCGGGAGTTATCCTTTAAAACTTGTAGTCCTCTCTAAGAATTTGTCAGCTCCGGCATCCGTATGCCATAGCATCGCATTCTCGCCATGCTAGCTGCTTGCTAGCATGGGCATCTTATTAATTTACACCTTACTTCTATGCGCATGCTAATTACTACAACAGATTACAGAGTACCGCTGTGATTTGTGATTACTACTAACTGTACATAACCACACTTACAGCTTACGCCGTTTGCTACCTGTTGCCCTATTGGGCTAGTTGGGGTCTGGACCTTTTTTTCCTGGGTTCCAGATCTTCAGGTATGTAATTTACTAGATTTTGTAGCTCTTCGTTGGAGTGCCTTCCAGCTTTCTCGAAGTCTTCAGCCGCTTTCCTTCTGAGAAACTCTCTTAGTGGCTCCCACTCCAGGTCCCGGTAGATTTGGGAGTTTAACGAACCAGGGCACATCTATGGTCATCCGCAGAAGTTTGTTTTCTGTGGCCTGAAGTCTATTCAAGTGACACTCGGTGGCTATACGCCAGTGTCGGCTTGATTATGGTATTGATGAGGAGTAGCTTGTTCCTGATACTCATCTGGCTTCTTCGATTGAGGAGTGGGTACAACTTGGCAGTTGTTGCCTTAACCTTGTCGATTGCTGTTTTATGTGCTTCTTCCAGGTCAGCTGCTAATCTAAAACA